CCATACAGAAGAGGTGATTTTGTCCAACAGAATAGCTGGACAGCTTCCCTGTCTAAACAGAGAACTTATCTTCCTTAATCAATTCCAAAATTCCCAACTGTGATGTTGTTGAATATGATTAATTGTATTTGGCATAGCTTTAATAAACCTTCAGAGAAGAGAATTCTGTTTTTTATATGCAAATGCATCATCAGTTCAAATATTTGCAGGTATCAGATGATGATATTTGAACATGAGAATACTTTCAGGTTTTCCTACAGTTTATTCTTAAGGTAGTCACAAAACAACTCTACTGTGGTAACATCAATTAACGTTCACTCAATGTGTAGAGATCAAAGTAGCTACTGTACACAAACATACCAAAAAGAACAAAACAGCACTCAGTTATTTACAACAAACTTCAATAGTCTTACCTACACAAACCCAAATGTTGCCTTTCTTTCACCAGCTCCAAAGCCACATAATTCAATGATGACCACTTTGGTATGTGAAGTAAACTGTAAAGAGTTTCAGTCTGATCAACCTATTTTCAGCAACAGACATGGGAACTGACTACAAAGGCTCAGGAAGGAGCTTCCTAAAACCTACGTAATCCTTGCTTCTTTAACCCAGCCTCTATTACAGCAGCACAGGATAACCTGGGAACTCTACCACATGGGACAGTCTAATACCTGGTACTAAAAACTCTCTGTGGCAGTATAATCACTGCACAGGCTTTCTACCTCCAGCCAAAGTTACTTTCCCTCATGCGTCAGACCACAGAGAAAAGGAGGATAAATTGTTTATTTGGTATTACAAGAACAGAGGAAACACTTAGGTGGTAAGACATGAAGAAGCCTGTAGACACAGTCTAGTGGGAAAGGCACTGTTCATTTAGCCACTACAGTCACTTTGGAAAACGCAGTAAAAGCATGTTAAATACATTAATACATGAGAGAAAAGTAAAGAATGCATGTGTAACACATGGCTGTGCCTTCAATAGTGCCAGATTACCATCTGGTACGTTACCATCTGGTATGATCACCATGCAATACAAATTTACTCCCTGAGCAGGTGCAGACACAATCACATTTCTGTCAAATCTGCCAGAGTGCAGGATGTTGCATTCTTGCTGACTTCATGCCAGCTGAAGGAGACAAACGATACCTGATCTGGCATTAGGACAGTCACAGAGAGATGAACAATACGTGACAGAGCAGAAAATCTACTAGTACAAGGTTAACGTTAAAATTGAGGATGACAAGGTATGTTTACATGAGATGTTTGCATTGTATGGTTATGGGGTTCTGACCTGCTGGCGAGTGTGTTAAAGACATATCATTGACTCAGCACTCTAAATCAATCCATTAAAGCAGCATCTGTAGAACAAAAAGTAACACAGCATCCTCCTCCCTCTATACTGCTCTGTCCCTGTCAGGCCTCTAAGAGCTTTCAGTCTTTTATCTACCTGCAGAGAATCTCACATACTCTGTGTGCATGTCAGCAGTTTAAATTATCTATAGTAGAAGGGAGAAGGGCAGAGAGAAGAAAAACTTCTGTATTCAATACAATTTCACACACAGAGGAGAAAATAAATCAAGTTAGGATTACAGACATAGCTGCTTAGATTGCCTAAATGAGACAATGAGTATTATCTCATCTGGCAGTTTAGCATGACTGAAATGAAACGTAATTTGTAGCTGATGCCAACTGGCAGAAGACAAACAAATGTTCATGGTAATTTTTGTGCTTTATTAAAAATGTACTTATGCCTTAAATTGTAAGGAAAACAAATAGAATGCTTTAGGTCTACAAAGTACAAGATTTGCAGATGCTACCCTCAGCTGCTAACTCACAGAAAGATGTGTCTTGAGTTTTACGATTTAAAAAGACAAATCTAAAATTATGCCAGGTCAAATCTTCTACTCGGTACCCCTGTCTCCAAGAGCAGCCAAAAGCAGATGTCCGGGGAAGAAGATAAGAATAGTGTAAGCATTTAGTCATTCTTTCCCCAGATACGCTCCAGTCCTCAATAATTTGCAGCTCAGGGACTTTCAAAGCCAGAGGTCAAGCTTACGTATTTCATAATTCCCTACAGACTTTTCTTCTATTCATTTTGTCCAGTCTCCCTTTGAATTGGTATAAATTTTCAGTATCTAACACATCCTGTGGGGTTACACAGCTTAATGATATGTGCATGAAACAAAACTCTTTTTGCTGTTCTGAACCCAACACCCGCTGGTTTCATTTCCACGCTCATTAGTTCTTATACTGGGACAGTCAATGAACAACTGATCCTTATCAGCCTCACCATCTTGTTCATGTTTTTATAAAACTATCATCACAATCACAGTTGTCTCTTGTCGCTAATTTTCCTTTGTATGGAAGGTTTTAAGCATCTCCGATTGTCCCTGCAGTGAACTGGAAAAGCAAAACATACACTTAGTCTTTCTTCTATGGCTTTACTTTCCCTGAATGTTCTTTTTATTGCCCAATAATCTGGGCCCTACAGGCTCTCTGCATCAGACTTTCTGCTCCTCAATTTGCTCCTCAAATTCTTTTCCAACCTGCCTTCTTACCGACATTTAATTCTGACTGAGTTTGACCTTTATGTTTTCCCTTTCCACACGCTTGCACTTCCTTAACTACAGCTACTACCCCTGAAAGTGCATTTTTTCAACAGCCTTTGATTACACAATTAACTAGAATTAATATTACAAAAATAGACAAGGATGGAGGCCAACAGTTTCTTGTGAAAATATTTTCTTCCATCACCTGTAAATTAATGGAAAAATTTGTGGGGAAAGGAGGTTTCTCAGCACTACAATTGCCATGAATTGCTTTCCCCAGTCCACAGGACTATCAGAAGTCTGGTGAACTTTTCTTTCCACAGTTTCTTCAATACCCAGATCAGATTTAAATCACTTGCACTACAAGTAAAACACTTTATCCTAAAATTTTCTCTCTCCTCTACCCTTCCTTCACTGAAAAGGGTCTTTACAAGCATAAAAAAGAGACTTAGTAAAATTTTTTTTTTTGCCCTTTTTAGCTAAGGTTTCCAAAGAAATTTGTTCCAGTATTCTCATGATTTGCATTATGTAATAAAGTAAGCTATTTTATTACCGGGCAATGTTAATTTAGAAAAGGTAGAATGTTTATTGGAGGAAAAGACAGGAATTCAAAATGAAGACCTAGAGGAATGACCTGAAAAAACAATGTCATCTTCAGTAAGAACATGTGCAAGATGATACAGTTAGGCAGAAATAACCAGCTCTCTAATGATAAGTGTGAAAAATATCTTAGAACACGCATCCTTAGATGAGGATCTGGTGGATCACTGCCTGACCATGAAAAAAAAAAAAAAAAAAAAAAAATCACAGTGCTGCAAAAAAGACGTGCTGTGTCAGTAAGTATGAAGAAGATACTACTTCATTTTACTCAATGTCATTAAAACCTCAAGTTAAATACAGTCTTAACTTGGACAGAACAAAACACATGTGAAGTAATGGAAGATAACCCAAAGAAAACCAACAAAAATAACTGGTGTAAAGAAAACAGTACCTGTGAGGTAAAAGAACTGAACTTAAAGAAAAAGAGGTCATGATAGCTTAGAAGAAACACAATAAAACACATTGTAAGAAGAAAAATAATTATTTGCTTTGTCCAATACAGATGCAGCATGGGTAGTTATGGCGTTAAACAGCAACAAAAAAGGTATGAATTGTGTAACATGATGATGTATGGGAGACTACTGAGTTCCTTAGAACAAGTCAGAGATGATAAATATGAATGCTCCTCTCCTGGGGAAAAGAATGGACTGGATGACTTCATAAGGTCTCTTCTAGTCCTGCCTTTTTATGTTCTTTTCCTTGGACCTGAGGCAGAACCTTTTCTTTTCAGCGATTAATAAAAAAAAAAGTGGGGGAAAAGAGGCTGTTACATGGCTGCCTTGAAAAAAATAAGGCTACAAACAACCTGCTCACACATAAACTATTCATTCAGACCTTTTCCCTGTCAAACTCCAAGAAGCCTGTGGAAAGAGAGGAAGACTAGCTGCCAAGAGCTGAAGGCATAGTGCTGAAAGCATGGACTTCTATTCTCTGACCTTCCCCTTAAAACACTCCTTAAATGTGGCTTGGAAGCAGATGCATACTATGGAAAGCACAGTGCATGCATGCACGCACCACACTCCTGATGCACACTGAAAGCAAAAGATTGCACATCTTCTGTGCAATGTATGTAATGTGCAACAGAAAAGTTAGGTAAACTCTGCTTACATGGGCTACTCAAGCACCAAAAGAATTAGAATTCTCCTTAGGCTCTGTTTTAGACTGGACTTTCACTCTTTCACATCAACACATACCATTCTTGCACTAAGAAAACTCAAGAAAGGCTGGATATTTCTGTACTCCAAATTTGGCTGCGATGAAAGGCAAGCTCTAATTCAAACTGTCAGGGCTGTCATGGAATGCGGTCTGGGTCACTTAGATATAAAGATTGGTTGAAGGTAATTACATTGATTTTATGCAGTCATGATCATGACTAATGACTGAATAAACACATGTTGTATGCACAACACAAACCTCATGCACATTTCTGCAAACTGGATATCTCTGCTAAGTTATCTCAGCAAAGCAATCAGCTGGGCAGTCTGTGGAAAATCTTGCACGCCAACTGTCTTGTTCTATGTCTATTAGTAGCTTAAAGAAAACAGGGAGAAAAATTAGACCTTTTTTAACTCCTGAAAGGTAAACCACATCATACCAACACTGTCCTGAGAAAAATTAATGCAGAGAGAAGACACAACACTGCATGAAACTTCCTGTTAAGCATAAAACTATAATTTCATTCTATTACCAACTCGGCCCACCACTTAATGTTGAACTAGTAAGTAAAAACAATTTTCTAAAAGCACAGAAACAAATCCACAAGTTATGAATTTAAAATTAACATAAATGCAACTAATCTCAACATGTAGAAGTTATAAAGGAATATGTTACCATATTTAGACTAGAACTTACCTTTGAAATTTTCTTATAAATTCTGAATTACTTGGACTTGCCTACACAGAATGATGTTCAGGTTCTACCAGGTGTCTGTTCTGAAACAGTTACAATTGCTAAAATTGTTACTATGGCCACTTACACTTCCTCCCTTATTTTGTGAAATAAAGTGCGTTCCATACAAGGCTAAGAAAGCAACAGTATTTATGTGACTTACCCTCCACTATTCATATTACAAGCACAATTCAATACATACTATTCATCAGTACTAAATAGTTATGTAGAAAGATGCTGCCATTCTTTGCACACAAAGAACTCTTTTGAGAAATTATGCACAAATCTGACTTTAGTTGTTGTGTTTTAATCCCAGATAGGAACTCAGCACCACACAGCTGCTCATTTCCTCTCCCCCTTTGTGGGATGTGGAGGAGAATCTTACAGAAGGGCAAAAGTGAAAAAAATTGTGGGTTAGGATAAAGGCAGTTTAATTGGTAAAGCAAAAGCCACACATGCAAGAAAAGAAAAACAAGAATTCATTCACTATTTCCCATTGGCAGGAGGGTGTTTAAGGCCATCACCAAGAAAGCAGGGCTCCATCAAGTATAATGGTTACTTGGGAAAACAAACATCATCACTCAAAATGCCCCCAGACCTCCTCCTTCCCCTAGCTTTATATGTTCAGAATAATGTCATATGGCATGGGTTACCCCTGTGGCCAGTTAGGATCAGCTGTCCTGGCTGTGTTCCCTCCAACTTCCTGTGCACCTCCAGCCTCACTGGCAGGGCAGCACAAGAAAAAGCCAAAAAGTCCTTGACTTAGAGTAAGCACTGCTCAGCAACAACAGAAACATCACTGCGTTATCAACATTAGTCTCATCCTAAATCCAAAACACAGCACTATACCAGCTACTAGGATGAAAATTAACTCTATCCCAGCTGAAACAAGGACATTATTAAAATCTAGATATCTGACAAACTATACCCTTAACTGGAGCACCTTCTCTTTTACAGGTACTTTATTGCAGGAACAGTAGTTGCATTTACAGCACTACATATACACCACCTACTTAACATTTCATAAAAACAGTCCACCACCCTATATCTGAAAATATTTTTTTACAGCTTTTCCTCCACAAAACTCCTTTTTGCACAGGACATATCAAAGCAATACACACACGCTGAAAGAAAAAACAAGAGTATGTAACCATTAAAATAAAGCTTCTCTCAAATGCATTTGCCAGAATATAAAACTGGTGCATTAGCACCACCATGCACTTTAATGATGAGGTCAGGTTTTGACAAATGAAAGTTCAATGAAAACTCTGAAAAACCTGTTTACAATGATCCCAGACATAAGCCTTTGCAAGCTGCAATTCACTGACCTATGTAAACTGATTTGGCTTTCAGATAATTTCCTAGTGAATACTATTGCAAAATCCATAAACACAGATGGCACCAACTGGCACCCTATTTGCAATCTCAGTAGAAGATCAAATAGAGAGACTGAATTTATCCTCCCACATCACAGGTGATTCTTTCCAAATAGGTTTAAGGGATTATGCCCAGAAGCTGAACCAAGAAAGTTCTGCCACAGCTACCCAAAGTCTCAGCCACCTGAGAAGCCACATTGCTTGAACTAAGCTGGTTCAAAAACTGTACAGCTTTTAATAAGAAAATGCAACATTCAATTCAGACCAGGTCCAAAGTGTAACTACTACAACTATCCTGTTAACCATTTCTATTAGAAGTAAACTTACAAGGTTTTTTTCTAAAGCACAGTAACAGAAGAACCCACTCAGGATGAAAAAGAATCCTGCAAGATGAAAAGGCCAACAATCTACAATCAAACCCTAAAATACATATCAATTTTATTATTAAAGCTTGTTATATGACTTCATCTACAGAACAGAGTGACAGCATTAATAATGCTTATTATTAATAACTGGTAAATTGTCATAAACAATCTTTGAGAATACATACAATGTATGCAATGTCAGGTGTTGGCAAACATGAAAATCAATTAGTGAACTCTAAAGCTAATTCAAATTCAAGTCATTTTCACTGGTAAGGTGTTACATACCACATACAAAACATGAATCTAAAAATACCTCCACAGTCTTCAAGATAATAAGACAGTACTAAGACAATGTAACTTGAAATGGAGACAACAGTGACAAATGAGGCTGCGCAACTGCTTCAGCAATATTGTTTTCTTAATCCTTTCTGAACTCTAGAAACTCTACAAAGGTAAAAATGAAAAGATCTGAAAATCAGCTGAAAGACTTTCTTTGCATCTGGGTTCATTTATTACAGTCTTCTCACTGACTGGAACACAGTATGATGCTTTCTCAAAGATATTTTTTCTCTTTCTACAGTGTTTCATTTTTATGGTTTATCATTTAGCTTCCATGCTTTCACTATGGGCCTCAGGAAACACCAGCCAGCAACATTTAAGCCAATATAAGAAATGTTTTCAGGAACAAATACTGCTGCAGCATTCTGCTCATGCAGCTATGTCTCAAACATTCTGGATTCTCCTGTGAAGTGCCCACATCTAACTTAACTACACAGCTCCAAGCTGAGATAGTATGATTATGAGAAGCAGAAGACAAGGTAAACTGGAGAAATTAACCTTCACCAACAGACTGATACATTTTTTTAATTATATATACTCAGTCAGAAACTGAATGCTATTGAATGTGCGAACACAACAGTCTGAATATTTTCTGCTGTGATATATATGTGCTCTGTCATGGAAAAGATAATTGCCCAGTTGTCACATGCATTCCCTGAGTTTACAATTTCAGATATATTCCTGATCCACCATGTAGACCAGGCACATTTGCAGTCATTTGCTTGCTTTTGCAGCAAATTTATAATTAAATTATTTTTCATTGCGGGTTTTGTTTTTCTTGGAATTACTTTCCAAAAGCTATCTTCTAGGAAAATATTTCTAGGAAAATTCTCTGATTAACCAGTGTTGAAATGCTTATCGGTGGTTTATGTCTGACCTCCTAAAATCTAAGCATAGGGAGAAACAAAAGCAATTATAAAAATTTTATATCTGAAATCAGCACTAAAATATTTTCCAAAATGCATTAACTACTTTCAATAATATAACAGAAGAATGACCCAAACTATTTGCTTTACTTAGAAGACTGTTTAAAAAAAAAAATAATAAAACTGTCTTTTACGCACCTTTCAGAGTATCTGACCATACCTCCTCAGCAATTTTAAAAGACAAGTGATAACACTATTTTTCATCTGGTCCTTAAAAAGGCAATAAATTCAGCTTAATTCCAGTTTATGTATGTAGGAAGGTGATTTTAGAAGAACGCACCCGTTAGTTCACCTTTCCAGAGCAGATTTTAGGCACCATGACCTGGAAGAATCCTGCCAATTTTTGTGAAAGCTGTAAAACCAGGAGGGAAATACAATGTAAGCAAAAGTCTTTGGCATCATTTTAACAGACTTGTCAGATATAATCACATCAGCAATTGTCTCTGCATCAAAGAAAGGACTCTGAGAGCCATAACACCTTCCAGCCATTCACCACCTCTGCCCTTTTTCCCAAGTGAGTTCAGAATGTTGACACCACAAATGATTTATCCCCTAGGCAGAAAGCAGAGAAATGGGAACTGCTGTGGGGGAAGGGAGGCCCTGAAAACAGAGAGGGAAGAGGCAAATGGAGAGACACAGAAGGCCCCTGTTCATGGGAAAATAAGGAACGGTGGCACAAAACGGCTTCTATCATTGCCAAATGCCACCAGCAGCTCAGAAGTTGATCTTTGCTCTCCTCCCTGCAGATGGGATGGTGCAAAGGGTCAGTCAACAAGAGGAGCCGTGTTGCTTGTTCCTGTGCATAAACACACGTGTGTGTAGGAAGTGAGGACAGTTAGGGACAGCAGAGCAGCCATTCTCACTGCCCTCCAAGATTCACCAAACAGCTCTGGGCTGCTGCATGCCCCCTCAGTGGGGGTGTTCCTATTGTGAAGAAACTGCTTCCTTTTCCTCTTGTAACAAGTTACCTTTAAGAGGCTGAGGGTGAAATTCCTAGAAGCTGGTTGTTGCCTTCAGTGAATAACCAGGAATCTTACTTCAGCTAGGAACTGCCACCCCATGTACAACATGTCCCCTCATTCTAAGAGCTACTCTTTTACTTGGGAGCCCTTCAACTGGTACTCTAACTGTCCAACAAAGGAGAAGCTTCTGGAAATACAAATTTTGATTAAGAGTTGTGCTCTTCATATCACTCAGGAAAATAGTGATGTGGTTTCCTTTTCATGTAATGATTATTTGAACAGTAATGTCTACACCATACACAAAACAAAACACTGTGTTTCTTGCCTGGTGCCAGCTATATAGTCACCTGCAGTCCAACTTGGTTCTGCCGATGTAATACCATATAGCATTTACTATGTCATTGTCCTACTGTATTACAGAACACCACAAGCAATTTTCACAGCTACAAGGTAGAACATGAAAAATTACTGGCTTCCTTTCAGCCTTAGCCAGCAGTGTTCCTGTTCCAAACTTACAAGCAAAGCACACGCAAGAGTGACTGTGAGAAAATGTGGAAGAATATGGTTTGATTAAAAAGGTAAAAAAAAAAAGATAAAAAGACACTCTTATACAGAAATGCTGTACCCAGTCCCAGTGATTTATACTTCTTAAAAGCAAATGGCATCACTATTACTTGCCCGACATATGGGTACATCATCTCGCAAGCATTTCCCAGAATGCTTAATAAAAACAGCAGATTAACTAAAAAAGGATAAAGTGGGCAATTTCTCAGATACTGATTAAACCCATGCCATGACCCAGACAGAGGAAACCTGTGAAGAAGGCTGTGATGTGTTTAAAGCTGGAGTGGCTGAAACTAGCATATGCAGTGAAAACTGAGGAATGCTTCCATGAAAACTGTGTCTGAGATAAAACCCTCTCATTAACAACTGCCCTAACAGAGCAGACTGATGATCTGTCTGTATCCTGCAACTAACAATGGGTGGAAAGGAGAAGAAAGTGACGGAGATTAATCGGGATTGTATATTTGTAAAATGTTTTATTCAGAAAAATAAAGTGGAACACTGATTTTAGCGTCAGTGACACTTTGCAATAAGCCACTTTGCGCACAGCATGTATTTAGGTCTCAGTGAGTTACAGCTCTGTAAGGTTTTAGTGACCAAAGCAAACCCCCTGAAAACAAGGGGACTCCCTGCAGGTGTGAGCTTGTGCAGCCAGAACCCGCTGCAGGACTGGGACTGAGCAGACATTTTCATTAAGGTATCTGTAATGGTGCCTAGGAATGCTTCTCTATGAAAGCCAAACCTTTCAATTAACACATATAATGTTTTCTTCTAGATGAGGTCAGCTAAAGCTTTTTAACTGTTTTCAGTTATTCCTAATAACACATCTGTTTTCAGGATGCACACACTCACACCATCTCGTCTGTCTGCTTCTGGCTCAGTACAAACGACGGAGCAACCCAGCCGCCCCACCACCAGGTACTGGCAGCGCTCGCACTTGTCCGGACACAGCACGTTTTACTTGATGTTGCTCCAACGCACCCGCAACTTCTGAATTGTGGGATCCAATCTCAGCGGCATGTTACCGAGTTCATTTGGAGCGACGCCTAAACTACCAACAAACCTTCACTGGTAACTTGTGCCGTCTACTTCTCGCCCTTTCTTGTAAGTACTCTAAGGAACAAAATACCCTCACACACACACGTCAAAAACTTGAGCGCAGAAAAGCGAGAGGAAGGAAGAACACGTCGGAGCGAGAATGCGCCAAGGTGAGCTCTGAACCCTCGCTTCCCCGGTCAGCTCTGAGGACGCGAGCGTCCCCAACCCCACGGACTGGGCTGCAGGTGCCACGGCCGTGGCTGCAGGCCGGGCAGAGGACAGCTCGCCTCCAGCTCCCCTCTCTCTCCACGCCTCGGCTCCCGCACGAAGCCGCCCGGGGAGCGTTCCCAGAGGGCGGCGCCCCCGCCGCTCCGCCCGCCTCGGGCCCGCGTCCCCGCCCCATTCCTTCTGCTCTCGCCGCACAAACGGAATGGGAGAAAGCGTTGGCAGCCCCCCGCCGCCTCCCCGCGGCCAGCAGCAGACACCCCGAGAGGCAGCCGCGGCCGCTCAGTTCTGCGTACGTGTGCCTGGGGTACCCCCTCCCCGCGGGCGGAAGACCAGCGTCCCGCCGCGGCTGGCGGCTCGGAAGAACCTCCGCACAGGAGGGAGGGAGGGAAAGAGCGGCGCGGCAGCCCGGCGGCTCCGGGCGCCCCGCGGGGAAGGGGCCGAGGGGTGCCTCCCGCCTCTCCGCTTCGCTGGCGGACTCTGGGCGGCTCTCGCCGCACCACGGCCCCATCCGCGCCGTTACCTCCGCGCCGTGCCCCGTACCCTCCTCGCCCCCCGGCAGTTTCCCGGCCCGTCCTGGGGCTAAAAGCCCCTACCCGAGGTGAACTGCAGCCCGGCCGCCGCACGGGCAATGAATGGAAACGTGCCCAGCCGTCCTAGTCCTCCCTCTCTCCCCCTCACAACTTAAGTGGGGCCGCCGCCCCCTCACCTCGGCCGGGCAGTGGCGGTTCCTCCGCGTTGGGGCTTTGCTCCCGCCGCAGCCTCCGGCCCGCGCCCCGCCGGGCTCACCCTCCTCCGCTCCCGCCACGACCATGCACCGAGGGAGCAAGAGTTGAATCCCGGCAACCGCCGACCCGCCCGCCCCCAGCCGGAGGAAGGGAGTGAGCGAGAGAGGGAGACGCGGCGAGGGGCGGGGAGGGATGGGACGCGGCCGCCCTGCCCTGCCCAGGTCCGGCCCCCTCCCACTGACGTCCCCCGCTCTCACACCGACAGCCGCGGCGGTGTGCCTGTGCCCGGGGCCAGGCAGGCTCCAAGCGGGACGCGGGAGGCCCAGTCCGCGCCGCTCTTGGCCCTGCCGGCAGCCGCCGCGGGCACCCGGCTCCTCGAAGGGTCGGGCTGGTGTGCTCCCGGCCAGCGCCACAGCCGTCGTAGCGGCTGGCCCAAGGGAGAGCTCCAGCAAACAGCCCGTATAATTACAGACCCCCCATCCTGGCGGTTTAAATAACCAGAGCTCCTTCCTCGGCCTCCCGCCACGGACCCGCTAAGAACCGGCATTATCAGGCCCGGTATTAACCACTGCCGTTCCACCACCCGTGACCTGCCCCGCTGGACCTCCTTGTGGAGGGTGCACTGAATGAAAGCGAGAACTGTAAACATCAACTCACCCTATTTCCAAACATTCCTCTCAGTCTAGACCTTCTGGAAAAAAAAAGAAAAAATACTTACACAATTTACATTGCAAGAAAATTTCTCCAAAATTGTCTGTAAAGCTTCTGTTTTTGAAACTTTTCATCTGAGAATAAATGGTTTCCCACCAATCTCCCTTTAAAATCCCAGTTAACAGTCTTCCAGCTTAAAAGCAGCACCCTGATGAGCCGGGGTTTTCAAGAACTTTGTAATTTTTAGTGTTTTAAGATATCTACTGCTAAGCACGTATGTGTCTACTAGTATCAATACCCATTTAAAGCATCTGCAGAGAAAATTACGGTTTAAGCTCAGACATGTCTCCACAAGCCTCTGCTGTTCTCTGCATTTGAGCCCTTGTGTAATATGCTGATTGTTGCAAGTGGATGACAGGTGTCTAATAAATTCATACAGCTCTTCTCAATATCGGCCTCACTTGCTAGATTGGAACTGGCTGTTGCAATAGATAAAACCAGACACTAAGTGGGTCAATCAAATAAATCACTCAGGGTATCTCAGGGACATAAGCAAAGTGTTACACCAATGCAAAACTTTATTTGCTGCAGCTAAAGCTGTCCTTCTCATGGGAAAAAAATGAGGTGTCTTTTGACAGCTATCAGAATGATATCTTTCATGAGCACTGTGTTTCCTTGAAGCTATGGTTTTGGATTCAATTATTATTACACTCTGATGATACAGGCAGATCAATGCAGGCTGGTCCTTCTGACAGCTTGGGGCTCTGAGGTCTTCAGGTGTGCAAGGGCAAGCTCTGTCTGAACTGGTCCATTTGCTGGATTTATGCCTTTGTAATTAGTATCTGCTGCTTAGAAGACCGAAAATCAGTTAATGTTTTCCTAGGTATGTAGGTTTAAGCAGAAGGAACAAGCACAAAAAAACAAGAATTATGTTCCTGTGGCAGAAAGCATTAGAAACATGCACAGCTATCTACAGCTACTGAAAATAAAGCATATATTTTCATGGCTGATTGTTGTCCAAACTTGTATCCTTTTGTTACTTTTCCCCTTTTTCTCTGGACAAATCATTAAATTAAACATTCTAAAAGGGTTTTATTAGAGACATTTTTGTTTGTTTCCATTAGACTCTGAAAATTAATTTTCTAAAAAATAAGGGTGTCTTTCTAAAGCTGAATTCTCTGTGACTTTCGCGAGCAGCTACTTTAACATACAATAGGAGACAACTCAATAGGCCTGTCCAAAAATAAACACCTCTTTAAAGAATATTTTAACCCTGGAGACTTTGCACAAATAGAGCAGTCACAATTTTACTTGATAATACAAAATTAACATAACAGATATATTAATTTTCAAAAAGCTATGCAACATTTTGAATTCCAGTTTTTGAGCTAGTCTCCATAACAGATGACTGTACCACTTTTGCATCAGTGTTTTCTGAAACAGCTAAATGTCTCATGCTGTTTCAAAAGGATGTGTTAGAACTATGATAGCCTATCAATAATATGAAACCAAAAAGCATAAAACCTGCATTGGAAATACTCTTGTAGCAAAGATCAGTTTTCTCACTGATCATCTATTAAGTCCTGAAAAGATGAACAAAGTGCCTGTTGATTTAATAAAACTTACCTAGAATGAAAGGAAATAATTATTAATGCATTCCTGCTATATTAATTTATAAAGTTTGCTTCTAAACATAGACACCCATGTGTGTCCGAATTACATGGAAGTTTTGCTGCACTTAACAGATAGGATAAAGAGTGATCTTATGATGATTGTTGTGGTAGGGGATACAGTGGCAGTAGCAGCCTCTTCCTTCTCCTCCACTGTTTAAAAAATGTTTGCTATTTAAAAATACACAGCAGAAACAGTTACACAAGAAGAATTACATAGTCCTGCTACCAGTTAGCGCTTCTGTGCAGCTTAGCCATTGGATAAAGTAATTACTAATGCGAATAATGACACCAGGTAATAAGAAAATGATAACCCACAGAATGCTATGATAAAGTTTTTAAGAAGCTAGTTGTAGACTCGCAATATTGCATGTAATAGAAAGGGCAACCATGGCTTTGAACGTGTAATTTGGGCCATAGGGTAGTCCAACCCCATTGGGTGCTATCTGGTCCTCAGCACAGATTGTTACAGGTACTTTTTAATCATACTATACTGGATCCAGAAACTTGTGTGGCAAGCTTCATGCATCAGGTTGTGGGGCTGAATGAGTTTGCAGGTTAGAAAACCAGTAATGAGCAGGCAGGTTTACTAGGAGGTAGGAAGCAGCACTCTGAAATCCCCTGATTTGGCTCTGAAGGCCAGGGGCTGGGAGCCAGACAGATCTAAACATAGCATACCATTTTCTTAATTTGAAATGCTTATTTATTTGGAATTGGTGTGAGAAACTTGGTATTTCCTTCTATTGAAGTAGTGAGGTTTTAATGCTAACTAATTATGATATTGGCTTTGATGTGCAGCTCTAAACATTTTCATTTTGATTATATGAAATCCCACTGCACAAACAAATAACTCATCACCAGAACTTAGCACATATGCATTATCCAAACAGGAAATGGAGACGTCAAACAAGCACACTTTGGATTAAGTGATACATGAGATGGAAAAGATGATATAATAGTTTTTCCTCTTGCTCATAGATCTTCCCAAGTATTAACTTCATAGGCATTCATTTGTTTAGACAGTTTTTCCCCCTAAACATTGGTTTACTTGTAACCCCAGATAGTAATACCTGACATCACTTTGACTGATTAAATTGCCTACAGACTGCAAACTGTTAGAATGAAGAGTTATTTTAGCCTGAAATTTCCTGAAGTTCACCTGAACAAATACAGTCTTGGATGTGGCCCAGAAAACATTCTCTAAAGGTTATAAGAATAGAATATAGACAGGGCAGACAAAACAGGATAGCGGGAAGTACAACCAAAGAGGCTACAACATCCAAGTAACTAGCAGATAACATATAGGTTGGAAAGGAAAACAGATACTATTTGGCTCAGAAGCTCTCACTTAGTCTGTGAATAGTCACTGGAATCTATTAAAAATGTTGGAGAAGATACAAAAATGTCTATATGGTGCTTACACAAAGCTATAAATGAACAAAGGGAATATCATGTACGCATAATGCAATTAAGACCTAGTTAGAATAAACAGCAAATCAATCTCAGCTTTATAAGCTTCAGATACATTCATACTAGATTTGTTCCCTGATTGTATTTACTTTCCTTTTGTGGTTTTGGTTTTGGAGTTTGTTTTTTTTTTAAATTTTGTTGTAGGTGGCTGCTGTTTCAAAACCTTCTCACTGTGAAATATTGGAATAAATTTCAGTATGAGATGAATGATTTGACTATAGAAACATATGGGGAAGAATTTTATTGGAGAAAAATAATGTTGGAATAACAATACTAAAATTGGAACTTGTTCTATGAACTCCAATGAAAATGGAAAGAGAGGAGTTAAGAATACAGAAAATGGCGGGAAATACACAAAACGAGTACCCAGGTCAGAGCCAGAGGGAACTGAGTACATATATGAGAGTTATTTTATTGTGGTTTGTTCTTCTACCCCAAAGAAAAGTAAGATGTAACACATCAGCTGAGATAGATCTCCAAGGAAATGTGTCTTTCTCATGTAATGCTTTAGTTTACAGCTTCAGAAATCTCAGCTCCTGTAAGCACTTAGTTATGACAATTAATTTTCAGTAGTTCATTCCTCTAGTGTCAACTAGCAGATGGTGTTACAGAAAGGATTATGATCTTTCTACTCTAAAGCCAGTGATGGTGGGGACATTTAAGACTGGGAAAACCCATCCACTACAACTTTTACCATAGTTTGTAGGAACCCTGGTTGCAAATCATACTCACACTCTACTATAACCATACAGTAAAATGAGGGCATCATGAGCAGAAACATCTTACACTGTAAGCAAATCAGATAAAATCCCCAATCCCTAGGCATAGACAAGAAGAAGGAAGCTGGGAACTAGAGTAACAGTAAGAACTACTGACCAGCATTTTTGGAAAAAGTATTATTAAAAAAAAAAAAAAGCACCCCAAATTGGTTGGTTATAATGGATTGTTTGTAACATAATGGGCACTGGTGGTAACAAATGACAGATGAAAATAGGCTGTGGTTAAGCTGAAAAGGACATTCAAAATTAACACCTTATGTTGTAGACAATCATAAAATGAAGAGTGCAACAGCACCCTGAGTGGATAATAGCAATATCATATTCATTCTACCAAGTTCAGAGAAAAGGAATTTTATAGTTCAGATCCAAAATAAAGTTTAGGTGAGTGTTTTAGTCATGGATGGACAGAAAACATACCATCTCAAAATTGTCATGTACAGAATCAATGTATAATATCTAGACTATCTGCATGTGATGACCTAGGAAGAGATCAGTGCTGACTGGCAGAAAGTGTGGCCAAAAGCATGGAAATAGTATCTGCATAGAAAGGAAATGGGAGGAAGGTTTGGAAGGAAAGGCTGGGAACTGTTTTTAACCATACTAAATTTGAATTAATAGCTTTTCCAAAATATTCAGAGAGATATCTTCATATTTTCATCTCTGCAGGAGAAAGAAGTGTAGGGTGACTCAGAAAAGTTAGCTTAGGAGCATGCAGGTTATTTTGATATTAGGAACAAGTAAATGGGAGCAAGGACAGAGCTCTTAGAGCTTCCATAGGAAACTGATGAAGAAAACACTTTTCTAGACATGCAAATCAATGCAAAGCAGTAAACAAAAACAAATTGAAGAAATAAGGTCAGTTAAAACAGAGTATCCTATAAAAAAGTAGACCTTTAAAAAGAAGGAAACATGAGAAGAGGCAATGGCTCTTGGCAGGTGTCAAGAGATACCTGTTCACTCTGGCTGAGTATTCTGAGTTCTCACATTCCAGCTCTGAACCAAACTCAGTGTTTTGGGGACAGTAATTGTTAAACTAATCTGGGATTCAGCCAGTGTGGTACAAGCAGGAATCCACTGTATTTTAAGAAGGTTTTAATTGAGTGCAGACACTCAGGCTCACTGAAGGGATCCAGATTTATCGCTGTGTCTAATCTGTATTTTTGAAACTCATATTATTGTAAGTATTATGAAAAAAAGCTGTCTAGACAAATAAATGTTGCCTGACACAAAAGCAGTAACAGCTGTTTTATCGTCTTTCCCATAATTTGGGGCTCTAGGACAGAGAATATTTTTAAGTGCAGGCATTAATTCATGGGAATTTAAATTAGCAATATAATTTCTTCTGAACACACTAAGGCATCCATTAGAAGTAAATAATTAAAGAGTCCAGGTTTTAAATATGACATTCATCTGTTGAAATTCCCACATTAATACCCAGCTATGCTAATCTATTTCTTTTCTAATGCCTTAAAAGTATCTTTTCATGTCTAAAGGAGTGCTA